TAGAGCACTAGTCTTGAGCATGAATGAATGAATGAATGAGCCCAGGACAGTGGCCAGGCCCTGAGTTTAAGGCCTAGGACTGGCACACACACATACACACACACACACACACACACACACACACACACACAGACCCAATTGTAAATGATAAAATAAAAATTAAGATTTTAGTGATGCTTGACTTTGCTTAAGTCTGATTGTGTGTGTGTACGTGGTGTGTATGTGTGTGTGCTGATCCTGGAGCTTGAACTCAAGGCCTAGACACTGTCTCTTTTTTTGCTCAACAATTCTGCTCCTTCACTTGAGCCACTTCTGGCTTTTTTGGTGTTCAACTGGAGGTAACAGTCACACAAACTTCCCTAGTAGGGCTGGCTTTCAACTGCAATCCTCAGCTCTCAGCCTCCTGTGTAGCTAGGTTTATACTGTGAGCCACGGACACCAGCTTGCAAGTATGATTTGCTTTCATTGGATACTCATTATATAGTACACAGAACTAAATCCACAATCATGCCCATCCTTCCCGAGTGAAGGACTTGGTTGGACACACTTCAAACATGCCTAGAAAGTTGTCATGTCCATGTAGAAAAAGAGGATCTGAGAATCAAAGAACCTTTGGATTTAAAAGAGTTTTGAAAGTCTTCTAATTTTTGTTTTATGTGCTCGTTTACATCGTGCGTACACACATGATGTAACCAATAACGGCTCAGAAAAGAAGTCATAAAGATGGTGGGTGCTGACATGCGACAGTGGGTCCCCAGGCCCAGTTCAGGGCTTGTCACGCATGTTTCTGACAGAGTCCGTGCAGAGTGGCTTTAGTATGGGAAAAGAGGAAGTGGAGACTTCATGAAATCTCTTGATGTATAGTCCAGATGAGTCCTGCTTGCCACCTTAGAGTGAGTGAACAGTGCCGCTGCGGCCAGCCGCGCAAAGGCGTCCATCACTGCTGCTGCTCAGAAAGAGCAACCCAGGAAACTGTCTAATTCATGTGAAAAGGAAGAATTGAAACCAGGCTTCCGAATTTACTCAAAATAAAAAAAAAAACTCAATGGAGTTTGTAAAACTAGCATCAAGATGAAAATCCAACTTCCTGCTTTTGTTTCTCCTCTACATTAAAACAGACTCAGGCTTGAAAAAAGCCTTGCAAATTTGGATTCTTTCATGAATAGGAGAAAAAGAACAAAGCACTCTATCTCTCTTGCTCTCTATCTCTCTTTCCAATGTGCTTAAAGATATGTTATTTAAAAATTAGGTAGAAGCTGGATGGCAGTGGCTCACACCTGTAATCCTAGCAACTCAGGAGGCTGAGATCTGAGGATCGAGGTCCAAAGCCAGCCTGGGAAGGAATGTCTGTGAGACTCTTATCTTCAGTTTACCACCAGAAAACTAGAAGTGGTGCTGTGTGGGTCAAGTGGTAGAGCGTTCACCTTGAGCTGAAGAGTTCAGGGACAGTGCCCAGGCCCAGAGTTCAAGCCCCATGACCGACCAAAAAAAAAAAAATTCAAATGCTCATTGTGAAATACATCTACGTATGTGTCCAAATGGTAAAGAGCTATCTAGACAAGTTATAAATACACTGTTCACAGGTTAAAAAATATAAATAAGCTCACACTAGAAGACTGGAAAGGAACACTACAAAAATAAACTTTAAAGCTAGAAGGGCTTTGGGTAAATTTTGATTAATGTTTTTTAAGATGATTTAACAAACTAAAAATTGTTTTTCAAAAATAAATGAACTTCCAGGAAAGTCTTCACTACAGAGATAATAGAGCAGCACAAATGTATTCACATCATACTGCAGACTCCTAGAGTAAGATGTGGTGAAGGAGGTCCGTCTGCTCGGTGTTCCTTTGCTGCCCTGGAGTAATCAGTTAAATAGGCACATGTCAAGAAGACAGGTCAAATCACTATCGATACCCAGTTCCAAGGGCAATGGCTGATAGCAGTCACAGCACAGTGATACTTTGCTGTCCCTTTAATTAAGGCGGAGCTTTAAAAAAAATTGTTCCATTTGTGTCTCAAATCAATCAGATGAAATTCACCTTTTACGTGGCCTGAATCCTGATAGCTCAGCACACTTGATAGGTAATTTAATCCTGTCTGGTGTAGATGAACACAAACTCAAATTAGCTCCTGAAAGAGCCGAGCTTCTCAAGAGATAGCTGTGCTTTTCCACTTTTGTGCAAGAGCTGAGCTTCACCAACTGGCTAGCTGGAGGTGTTATTAAAAATTCAGTGAAAGAAACAAAGGTGTGCTCTGGTGTCTCTCCTTACTGTTTCTCCTGTTACTCCGGCAGACAAAAGGCATAGAGCCTGCCTCATGAATAATGTGACATGGAATATTCACAATCTATTTTTAATGGAGCCAAGTAATAACATTAAAAGAGATATTTGCAATCTTCAAATTTCACACAGTAACAGGCACAGTAATTTGTTTTGATTCTGAACTAGGGAAAGCAAGATAATGGCTATCCAAAGAAGACATATAATTAACAATAAAATTACAGCTCCTAGACTGAAAATGGTGTAATCTCGGCACTCAGGACCCTGTGTTAAAAGGTTTGTGAGTTCAAGGCCAGCCTGGGCTACATAGTGAGAGCCTGTCTCAAAAAACAAAACAAAAATACTCCTTGTTTATAACATAGATAGGGAACATGAAAATGGGCCAAATAATTTAAATATCATCAGAGAGAGCCAGGAGAAGAGAGACTCAGAGATTTCAATCAGTTCAATTCACCCCTCAGTACAATTTGCTTTCTAAACCAGGTTGAAAATAACCAACCATAACCAACCGCATGCGTGGAGCCCCTTGGGGAGAGGTGTTTTGCATTATCCGCTGTGGCTTTGCCTTGCAGGGCAGGATGTTATGAAGTGGTTCCCAGATGCCCCATCTATCACCCCTCTGTTCTGAAAAACTACCTTAAATTGCACTTGCAGAGTAAACAAATTTAAGTTCTGAATGAGAAGAGACTGGTTTGGGAGAGGATCTACAAGGACAGAGATTTAGAGGGATTAGAGCAAAGCCCCATCATACCTCCCTGAATCACCAACTCACAAAGTCTCTGGCTGGGGGTAGCACAGCTGTACAGCAAGCACCTTAGCTTGTAAAAGCCCCAAGTTCGATCCCTGCCATCACCACCACCACCACAACAGAAGTCCTATGTGCCTATTTGTTTCCTACTACTCAAGCAACTTCTCAAACTTTTGAGCTGCAGAGAAGAGTAGGCCCACGGGATAAAGCAATCATTGATTGTGTGCCAGGCACTGTTGTGGGGGCTGACAAATCAACAGTGACCAAATAAACTGAGCTGGGCAATCTCACCACTTACAGCTGCAGACTCAAGCGGTGTGTGGAAATAGAGTGGCAAAGGAGCATCACCTGGTAGTCATGATGGGCCATATCATGGCAAATGGTGTGGATTTAGGTCAAGACCTTACTCTGGTTTTATGCTCCTAAAGGAGATATGGTTGGTATAGAACAACAAATAACCAAGCTGGGTGCCCATGGCTCATGCTTGTAATCCTAACTACTTAGGAGGCTGAAATCTGAGCATCCTGATTCAAAGCCAGTCCAGGCAAGAAAGGCTGTGAGCCTCTTCTAATAAACCACTAGAAAACCGGAAGTGGCACTGTGGCCTAAGCAGTAGAGCGCTTGCCTTGAGCTGAAGAGCGCAGGGACAGAGCCCAAGCCCAGAGTTCAAGCCCCACGACCAACCCAAAAAACAAATAACCTAGGTCATTTCACCTTAGTTCTGTAATTTGCTCCCAAACAACCAACTAGCCAATTGCATACTTCTTCCTCCTCCCTGTTCTCTGTGGAAGCAAAGTAGAGTTGGATTGGGACAACAGGACCCATATCCACACCTTGTGGTCTCAGAGATGTCAAAGGATTTGCCTGTCACATATTCTATCTGTGACAGAGCCTAAAGAATCCAATCTCTGGTGGCAAGTCTGATTTCTTATCTAGGAATCTTCAGCCCTGCAAACAAACAAACAAACAAACTTGAAATTCTCATGGGAAGAGCTGATGTACCTGTGGACCACCAGGGTCTCCGTTTAGAAACATCTCTAAAGGTGTTGGCTGTCTTTGGATGTCCGTCCGTCTGCTTTGCCTTTGTAACACTTCAGTGCCAGCTTCTGCCACCCAGAAAAATAATGAAATGAAGCAACACAAAAACCCCAAAGCAATGGTCCTTCCCAAGTTCACTGCCTAAATGAGAGACAATAGTCTTAATACTTTATTAACTTAAAACATTACTCTAATAAATATGTACTAACAAACATAATGCACTGCAAAAGATCCAAAAACATTTACAAATCTCATCAAAGTAAAAATACCATTTTTCCCCCTCTATGGTGTGTGTGTGGTGGGGGGGGAGTTGAGAGACAAAGGATTCCACATGCCTACCAGCTCAGACATCAGAAAAACAATGTCAGCTGCACCATAAAACATGAATCTTTGAAGTAACTCTTCAACTCCTTGTTGTTTAGATTTGATAAGAACCAAAGGGTTCGAGATTCTCTTGTTCCCAGAATTCCTTGGAGGGAAAGAACAGACCTCAGACACTTGGGAGGTGCCACCCTTAGCTTTGGGGTGGGGGGAGGAAGAAGCTGCGGCTTTCACCTCTGGGTCCCCACGCTCCCCGCTCTCATTGGCTGGGGTGCACCCGCCAGCGGGTCTGCCTCCCCTGCAGGCCCCTGGCTGAGTTTTCTGCTGCTTTCTGTCTGGGGGGGGGCAAGCATCTGGTGTGCCCTCCCCAAGAATTCAACTCCTTCCCCAAATCCATTTCCCGAGCTGGTCCCCAGACGCAGAGATGACGGACAGTCAGCACCCAACAAACGAGGGTCGACGCTCTCTCCAGAGGGGAGAGAGGGTGATCTTCCCTCCGCCCCCCCCAGCACCCCAGGGCCCTCGGCGGGAGGGGCTTCTGTCATATCTCTGGGTGTGGGGGAGCCTGAGGCCCGGGGTGGGGAGGGTCGCGCGCCCCTGTCTGGGCCCCGGCGGCTCGGGGACGGAGGGGAGGGCGGAGGGGCCGAGGAGAGGCGGGGTGAGGGGCTGGGGGGCGGTCCCGAGCGGGCCGGCCGCCCCCACCCCCGGTAGTGTGGAGGAGCCGCGGGCGGCCGCGCCCGGCGGCTCATTTGAGTCCGTGCTGCGTCTCCCGGTGGCGGCGCAGGTCCACCTTGCGCTGGAAGCCCTTCCCGCACAGGTCGCAGCCGAAGGGCTTGAAGCCGGTGTGCTTGCGGCTGTGCGTGATGAGGTTGGAGCTCTGGCTGAAGGCCTTGCCGCACACCTGGCACTTGTGGGGCTTCTCGCCTGCGGGGATGGAGGAGGTCGTGAGTGGGGGGGGAACCCACGCGCCCCCCCTCCCGCAACCTGGGCCGTGGGAGGCCACAGGTCAGCAGGTGGGAGGCTCTGCGAGTGGGGCTTCCCAGCCAAAGGCCTCAAACCATTTCCTGCCAAACGGAAACGGCCAGGGCCGCCCGGCCGGCCGGCCTGGGAGCCCCCAGAGCAGATGCTCGGCAGGAGGCGGGCGCAGCTGCCCCACAAGCCCCGTGACCCGGCTCCAGGTCAGAGGAAGTTTTCAAATCTGAGTTTCCGAGTGGGTGTTGGTTTCGGGTGGAGCCGTGGAGCCGTCCCCCTCCCCCTCCCCCTTCCCCTCCCCCTCCTCCATGGCCAAGTGTCTGAGACATTCATTTCTCCAAGCCTTATTTGAGCCACACAGTATTTCTCCGCATAGCGGATCCTTTTCTCTGTCCTTTCTTCCTGGGAGGTTATGTAACAGCCTGTCTACCACACATTAGTGACCAACAAGCAGCACAGGAGTGGGATCCATTTCCACACAGCCCCAGCATGGCATCTGAGTAGGGACTCAGCCTGGGGGGGGAGGGGTTGGGGAGGGGGAATAAAACACGAACAGTCCCTCTTCCTTGCACTTGGTCTTCAGGCTGCAGATTTCTGGGATTAGTAATCACCCAACAAAATATATCTTAACGGTTTAGGTTATGAAAAAAATCCCAGAAATGAAGTTTGGCTATGTTTGACAGGGGGCTTAATGCTTCATTCAGTCAGGATCCTAGTTGCATTCTGTTGAGTGCCTTGAACATTTTTAGGTGTAATGAGTGAACTGCAGGGAATTTCGGGGAGGGGGGGGCATGATTAAAACAGGAGTTGTTTTTATACTAATATCTACTGTCTGAGCATATTTATAGACACCAAAAGTGGGTGTTGAGACACATTGATTTGGAAGTGGCGCTGTAGCTCAAGTGGTAGAGCTCTAGCCTTGAGCTGAAGAGCTGAGGGACAGCGCCCAGGCCCAGAGTTCAAGCCCCACGACCGACCAAAAAAAAAAAAAAGAGAGAGACACATTGATTTATTTTAAATATTCATATTCTGCAGTAAAATAGTCAGATTCTGAGTCTCAATGTCTTGTTGACTATTAAATGGAATGCTCTTAGATACATTCCAAGATGCCCAATGCCCATGAGTTCCTGGTATTAAAATCTCTAACTTGCAGGGCACCAGGTTCACACCTGTCATCCTAGATACTCAGGAAACTGAGACATAAGGATGGCAGTTCAGAGCCAGCCCAGGTGGGAAAGTCCATGAAACTTATAAACAATTAACCAACCCCCCACCCCAAAAAAATCCTAGAAATGGAGCTCTAGCTCAAGTGGTAGAGCACTATTCTTGAGCAAAACAGCCCCAGATCCAGTGCCAAAAACAACAACAACAAAAACAAAACAAAAACCTAGCTGCACATGAAGTTTAAAGCAAGAGCTAGAACTGGAAGCCAGAGCACTCAAGGACCCCATGTTTTCCTTGTAGTAAATCACACAATGGCTCTGACCTTCTAGATGCCATCTACTTTAGGAGGTGGCAGGAAAGCTCAAACAAAATGACAGATTTGAAAGCACTTTGTAAATTATAGAGCATGACTGTAGGTAAGGAATTATCCTGGCCAGGCATGAATTTGATGCTGTTTTGAAAGGAGAAAAAGTAGAGAGAAGCTTTCTGTATTTGCCAACTCTCATGACTGAAAGCATAACATGGTAAAGCGGTCAAGCACAGACATCTGAGAGGAGAGACAGAACTGAATTCGAGCCCACGGCTACCCATGTAGCAGTGTGACCTGGACCTGTTATTCCACCCTCCTGTGCCTCACTTTCCTTATCTTGAAAGTGGGAGTGAAGAATGGTTTTTGTCTCTTGGACTTGTGGTCATAAGAAAAAATATTACGAATATTAGCTAATTTTCCTTACTCAAACGGAGTTAAGTGCTCCGTAAAATAAAAACAGCAGAGGCCACAAAGCCCCTTCCCCATAAGGCTGTGTGGGAGCCCTACAGAAAGTCCTCAATGTGTAGCAACACTCTTGCTATTTGACCCGAGCAGTGCAACTAGGGGAAAATACTTTCCCTCAGGATAGAGCACAGCGCGTTCACCTGCTGGTGCTTCCAACTCAACCCCAGATCAAGTCCCCTCTGGGGAGAGCGGCATCTGTGAATGAAACTAAGACAATCTGTCTCTTTGTTTTCTGCCACTGCTGCTGTGATTCACTCCCACGGGAAAGCCTCCTCTCTCATTCGCCGGGGCCAGAAAATCAAGCCAAGGACCTTCAGCTCACCTGTGTGGATAAAGGTGTGCTTCTTCATGTCTGACTTCTGGTGGAATCTCTTGCCACAGTACTGACAGGGATAGGGCCGGGTGTCGGAGTGGATGAGCAGGTGTGTGGACAGTGTGGACGACCGCTTGAAGCTCTTGCCGCAGATCTTACAGTCAAAGCTGCGCTCCTGCAGAGGGAAGGCGCCGCGCTCCTGCTGTCTGTCAGCTGGGAGTCACAGGCTCTGCACTCTAAACTAACCGAGCCCCCAACTCTCCGGCTCCCCTGGCTACCAAACCTGCATGTTATCCCTCCATCCTGTCCATTTCCATTCTTGGCATGCTTCGCTCTCTCCTTGAACACACAGCCTTTAAACGCTTCAGCTACCAAAACACAACTCAACCACAGCCCTCCACACCCGTGGCAGGCACGTGCATCGCCACCCTGCATTGCTGACACCCCTTGAACACGCTGCTCCCCCCCCCCGCCACTGCGGGTGGTGGAGGAGAGGGGCTGATATTCTTTTAAGAAGTCTGTGTAAATCAGTATCCCCCTGCTGTCTGTCCCTCGTGCCCTCGATTCTCTGGTCCCTCTACACAGTTCTGTGTGCGCTGCTGTGTTCCTCTCCTCCCCCTCCCCATCCCAGCTAAGCTCCAATCCCCACGGGGCGCCTGGTGTTCCATAGGATTCTCAAGAACTCGGCACCTGCCGGTGATGAGCGAGTGGAGGGCGGGCAGAGGGGCTCCCGGGTGTTGCGTGGGCCGGGATCCCTCCTTCGCTCGCAGCAGAGGATGGGACCCCCGCGCGGGGAGCAGAATCGGGGCTGGCAAAGCCACACGTGTGTGCAGCTCGCATCCGTGGTCACCAACCTTCCCCGCACCCCAAAAGGAATAACGGGGCGCACGGGGCTGAGACCCCAGAGTCTAGGCTGCCTGCCTGCCTGCCTAGCGGCCTGCCTGCCGGGAAGCCGGCCGCCGCCCGGCGCTCACCTGCGAGTGCACGGCCTTGTGCTGCTCCAGGCTCACGGCGTGGCCGAAGGTCTTGCCGCACATCTCGCAGGCGAAGGGCCTGGAGCCGCTGTGCGAGCGGCGCACGTGCACCTCGAGCCCGTGCGGCGTGGAGAAGACCTGCGGCGGGCGGGGCCGGGAGAGGGCGGCTGAGC